TTACATTGTATCATATGTCATCATGGGGGATAATTACATCATAACTGCTAAACCACTTAGAATCATGGCCCAGCCAAGCTGACACTCAACCTTAACTATCACAGTAACCCTGCTGTATTTGAAATACTAGTGGCATAGCTTCCAGCAGAACAGCAACATGCAAGCCAGAACATAATGACAAACTGACAGAGGAGTGGTGGTTCATTATTAGTGAGATTAAATTAAACTTCTGATTGGTCATAGTCCATCTTTTGTGAGTTTTCTGTAGGAATCGTGTGCTCATTTTTCTGTTCAGAGAAACCAGACTCACTGTTATTGAGTCAATTCTGACTCATAGTGACCCCCATTGTGTTTCTAAGGCTGTGACGCTTTATGCAAGCAGACTGCCTCATCTTTCTTCTGCAGAGTGGCTGTTGGGTTTAAATCTCTGACCTTTTGGTTAACAGCCAAATACCTTAACCACTACACCACCATAGCTCCTTCATTTTCTGTTAGATAATTTATCTTTTAGTTGATCTTTTCAGGGGCTTTTTGCGTATTAAGAATATCAGCTCCTTCTATCACCAGTATGTTGTGAGCTTTTTTTTTTTTTAACAGCTTTATGGAAGTATAATTGACATGAAATAACTTGTATATATTTCAGTCATATACTCTAATAAATCTAAGCATATTTGTACATTTGTGAAGCCATCACCACAATAAAGATAATGGCTATATCCATTATATCCTAAAGTTTGTTGTGCCATTTTGTAATCTTGTACATGTCGTCTTCCTCTAGAAAACTATTATGAATTAATTTCTAATTTCTAGAATTTTATGTAAATGAAGCAGTGTATACCGTGTATTTTTTTCTTTTGTCTGACTTTCACAATACTTTGGTATTTATCTATGTTTCACCACATAGCCGTAGTTCATCCTTTTATTGCTGATTATTGTTCCATTGCATGGATATACCACAGTTTATCCACTTATCTATTGATAGCAATTAGGGTTGTTTCCAGTTTTTATCTGTTACAGATAAAACCAGTATGAAAATTCAAGTTCAAGTCTTTGTATAGGTAGTCATATATACTTTCATTTCTCTTGAATAAACTTCTTAAGTGTCAGAGGGCTATGTCATATTGTAGATGTTTATCTTTTAAAATTTTTAGTATTCTAATAGGTGAATAGTGCTGTGTCACCATGGTTTTAATTTGCATTTCTCTAAATACTAATGATGTTGAGTACTTTTTCACGTGCTTTTCTTGCCATCTGTTTATCTTTTTTGGGAGTCCCTGAGTGGTATAGTAGTTAGCACGGTGACTGCTGACCAAAAGGTGGAAGTTCAAGTCCGCCTAACAGTGCTGCAAAAGAAGAGGCCTGCTGGTTGAGCTGCTTCCAGAAAGTTGACATTAGAAACTCTATGCAGCATAGTCCTACTCAGACACACACGGGGTTGCCGTGGGTTGGAATTGACTCAACAGCATCTGATACATCTTACTTAGTGAGTTGTGTTCAGATGTTTTGCCCATTTTTTAAATATTTGCTTGCTTTCTGATTACTGAGTTTTGCAAGTTCTTCCTGTTTCTGTATCCATGTGCTCTATCAGATGCATGATTTTCAAATATTTTTTTCCCAGTCTTTGGTTTGTATTTTAATTGCCTTGACAGTACCTTTTTGAAGAATAGAAGTTTTATATTTTTAAGTCAATTTGTTCTTCTATGGATTTTATATTATATCTAAGAAATCTTTGCCTTAAAAGGTCACAAAAAATGTTCTACTGTGTTGTCTTTAGAAGTTTTAGGGTTTGGGGTTTTACATTTGATTTGTCATTCATTTTGAGTTACTTTTATAGATGGTATAAAGTATGGATCAGAGTTCATTTCTTCATATGAATATCTAAGTACCAATTGTTGAAAAAGACTATCCTTTCTCCACTTAATTGAGTTGACATCTCATTCATATATCTTGGGTTCTCTATTCTGTTCTTTTGATCTGTTTGTCTATCTTTCTGCCAATCTCAAACTGCCTTAATTACTGTAGAGATTTATAATATGACTTGAAGTCAGATTGTAACATATCTCCAACTTTTTTCTTTTTCAAAGTTATTTTGGCTTCTCTCAGCCACCCCGCAGAAGGAAGGTTTGACAATCTACTTCCGTAGTGATACAGCCTTAGAAACCCAAGGAGGGGTCACTATAAGTCGGACCCAACTCCACAGCAGTGAGTTTGGTTTTTTTTGGCAGATCCTTTGCATTTCCATGTGGATTTTCAAATTGGTTTGACAGTTTCTCCAAAAACAATCTCCTGGAATTTTTCTTGGAATTGCATGGATTCCGTCTAGATCATTTCGGGAGAATATCTTTACAATATTGAGTCTTCCAATACATGAATATAATATATTTCTTCACTTACTAGGTGGTTCTTCAGTTTCTCTCAATATAATGTTTTGTAATTTTCAGTGTACAAATCTTTCACATCTTTCATCATATTTTTCCTAAATATATATTTTTATGCCATTGTAAAAGTTATTTTTTTTATTTCTGATTCTTTTTATATAGAAATGCAGTGAATTTTTGTGAGTTGATTTTGTATCCAGCAACCTTGCTAAAGTCATTTATTAGTTCTATTGGCTTATTTTTTTAGATTCATCAAATCTTCTACATAGATGCAAAGCCAGGACCTGAGAGTGAGTGCTTCCTTAAATTTTGCGCCCTACATGTCTCATTTGTCTCACCTTAGTCTCTGCTCTGAATAGACAGTCCTATCTGTAAAGAAAGTTTTATTTCTTCCTTTTTTACCACTTTTTGGTAGATTCAGGTAGAAGGGTAAATCTGATCTCTTTTTCTCTATCTTGGTTGGAGTGGAGGAACCCTTTTACCTATTATTTGCTTTTTAATTTTGATTATGGTAGTTTTTCTAGCTGAACTAAAACCAAAATAAAGCAAACCCACTGTCATCAAGTCAATTCTGACTCATAGTAACCCCCGTTGTGTTTCTGAGGCGGTAAATCTTTATGAAAGTAGATTGCCCAGTCTTGCTTCCATGGAGTGGCTGGTGGCTTTGAACCACCAACCTGCTGGTTAGCAGTCAGATGCCTTAGGCACTATGCTACCAGAGCTCCTCCTATGTGAACTAGGACTTTTAAAATACCTGATAACAAAATCTGTCCATTTTTTAAATCGATGATTACTAAATACCTTTTCTTACTCATGTAATCCTCTGATAAAAGTTACGGCTCTGCTTCCCAGAAACATCTGTGCACGCACACTCATACTTCCGTACGCAACTTTAGCAGTCCACAGACTCTCTGAACTTTCATCTGTTGACTCCATGCTATGAATCTTAGCTTTACAATTTCTTCTTTTTACCTTTTTACCTTTACATAGAAAGGTCTTCTGTTTCAAGATCATATTAAGGAAATACTTTTTAAATGATTGTATTTTTTCCTCCAGTGTATATTCAGACAGAAATGTTCTAACTGAACATTTCTGCAGGAAGAAAATATTATCAAATTCATTTATTTTAAATGATTATAGGAGCTCTGGTAGCATAATGGCTAAAGCACTTGACTGCTAACCAGAAGGCTGGCAGTTCAAACCCACCAGCCACTCCTCGGAAGGAAGGTTGGGCATTCCTACTTCTGTAGTGATACTGCCTCGGAAACCCAAAGAGGGGTCGCTATGAGTTGGGGCCGACTCGACGGCACACGACAACAACAAAACAACAACAATATGAGATAATGGTAGAGATAATATATGTATAAGTGTCCTAAAAATTGTGCAGATGTTATTGAGATCATCATCATCATTATCATCATCAAACATTCACCCTTTGAGCAATCTATTCAACTCTAGGGAATAACATCCAAATTTAAGAATTTAAGAAACAAATTGTGAAGATACTTGGGATACATTGTCTATAGTAAGGAAAAGCACAGAAAACATTCTAAATATTCAGTAATTGTTGACGATGATGTTGTTTGTTGTGGTCATGTTGATTCCAACTCATGGTGACTCTATGGGTGCAGAGTAGAACTACTCCATAGTGTTTAAAAGCCTGTGACCTTCTGGAAACAAATCACCAGGCCTGTCTTCCGAGAGGCAGCTGAGTTTCAGCCAGTTCGAGCACTTCACTGTTTCTATCACCAAGGGACACACAGAAAATATACATGTGGATGAGGATTAAAAGGGGAGATAGAAATATAAAAATAGTTTTAAGGAGATAAATTTATGAATAATTATTTTTAACTTTTATTATTGCCATTAAGTTTTACTATATTATGCCTTTGATTCTACTGTATTTTTATATACATATGAGGAACCCTGACACAGATGAGTAAGTGTTTGACCACTAACTAAAAGGTTGGCAGTTTGAACCCACCCAGTGGTTCCACAGGAGAAAGACCTGGCATTCTGCTTCCATAAAAATTGTTTTTTTTTTTGTTGTTGTTATTATGTGCTGTTGAGTCAGACCTGACTCATGACAACCCCTCCTTGCGTTTCCAAGGTGGTATCATTACAGAAGTAGATTGCCCAACCTTCCTTCCAGGGAGTGGCTGGTGGGTTTATGCTTAGGCACTATGCTACCAGAGCTCCTTCCATAAAAATTACAGCCTAGAAAACCCTGTAGAGCAATTCTCCTCTGCCCCATGAGGGCGCTGTGAGTCAGAATCGACTCGACGACACCTAAGAGCATAAAGTCATACTTAAAACTAGGCTGTCCTTCTGATTTGTTATGTTTTTGAGACTGAAATACTGTTTGAGCTTAGAGGCTTAATTATAATACTGCTTGAAATGAAATTATCTGTGAAATTATTATGTTTCCTTCATTATTGTTATAGAGTGTTTAATAATTTCACATTTTGGCAATCATGTTCTTTCATTAATACCCAATATGTAAAATGTATGAGAGTGTTAGCAGTTTCTAATCACTTGTTGAATGCTATAATTTCATGGCTCAATGATTTGATTATGGTCTTCCTGTAGTGATTTGAACTCTTTATGGATTCATTTGTCCAGTTGTCCAGCAGGAGGCTGAAATGTTCAAATGCTACAGTGGAACCTTCCCATTACCTGGAATACACCAAAGTCAAGATGCATTATGCACTCATGCTAAGCTGCCCTATCAAAGCTCTTTTCACACTGATGAATCTGTCCACACTGCAAACTCCTTGCTGAAGATGCAGCAAGTAAAACAGAGGCTTGATTCTGTCACAGTAAGTTAATTATTTTATGTGGTTCAGAAGTTAGAAATTCTAAAATCATTTCCATCCAATTTTATATTGCCATACTTGTGAGTGTTAATTTAATGAAGTAAGTTACTTAAAATACGCTTTCTCATACTTTTTATAGTTTGTTTGAAGTATTTATTCTAAAAGAACTAATTGCAGTAGTTAAGCTTAGGAGAATCCATCATGCTCTCCTGACTGGGTATCTCTGTTAAAGGCCAGCCCAGAACCTAGTAGTAAGGGAGGGCTCTGAGCCAGAAGAGCACACTTAGATGCACCACATGCACGCAACTCTGCATCTCCGGGTAAATTAGGAGTGATCCTGGTCTTCTCTGTCCTGGCTCACCAGTTTCTCTGAGAGGAGAGATGGCATTTACCAGGTTTAGACACTCTGCCTGTGAATCCTCAGCATTATGCAAAAGGACTACTTCTGGGAGGATAAACAGCATTTAAACATGCAATGTCTGCCCTGGTATTCAGAATTCTATATAAACTTATTAAAGCCTCATACTTCCTTCAGTCGTTCTCAAGCTTCATTGTGCATCAGAATTGCAACAGGCTGTTTAAAATCTGGATTGCTGGGCTCCACCCCCAGAGTTTCTGATTGAGCAGGTCTGAGGTGGTGGTACTGAGATTCTGCATTCCTGACAAATTCACAGGTGATGCTGATGCTGCTGGTCCTAGGACCATACTTGCAGAACTGTTGATCTAGTTCACAGTTCTCAGCACTTAGTAAGATCTTGTAAATGCGTGTTGAGTTATCTAAGTTAAGGTGCTTGAGGGCAATTCCACCATTGTCCTCTTCTTCATTGCCCCTAATCTGCATAGCTGATTTTCATTAAATAGTAATTAAAGTCAGGTGGATGATTTTAGGAAAAAATTCATTTTTAAGCTTTCCTGTTTATCTGTACCTGATCAACACTACTTAGACAGTAGTGCATAAGTGTGCAAGACTGGGGTGGTTTTTCTTGCCACAAGCAGAGGCCAGTGGCAGGTTATCAGTGTATGGATGTATGTTGACAGGAAGGACAATGTCAATTAGAGAATAAGAAACCAAGGAGGTAGAACCTGCCACTGGCCTCTGCTTGTGGCAAGAAAAAATACCCCAGTCCTACATACTTTTGTACTACCTTTGTGGTCAGTGCAGACCAGGTACAACTTGGCCTTGTGAGTTGGATTCCAACAGTTTGAACTTCAAAACTTTGTTATCTCAGACACTTACTTATTATTGAAGTGTTAAAGACACAGGGATGTTTAATGCTTGACCTCAGTTTGCATAAAGTCTGGTAAAACCGAAAAGCATATCCAGTTGCTGTGGATTCAGTTCCAGCTCTCCATAGTTAAGTCTGCCAACTATAGTATAAGGCAAAGTGTTTTAATAATATGTTTCAGTTACATATTTAATTGCCTTTTTAATGTAACATGGCAGTGATTATTTTCTGGGTTTTATAGATAGAAGGAAACTATTTCTGTTAAAAAGTGAGGTATAAAGTGTTAAGGATTTCTCAAATTCAAAGGATATGCATAATCTCTCTTGCTGCTTTTTAGAAAGCTACATTTTCATAAATTTTACAAATTTATAAAAAGCAATAGTACCTAATTTTTCTTTCCACATATACTGTTGAGCCCGTGCCAGTGCTAAGTACTGGGTTGGAACTTCATATGTGCAAAAACGACAAGGAGGCCACATGTTCTGACCTCCTCTAACCCTACAAGGGGAAGGCAGGATTACCAGCAGTAATCCAAGGCCTATTACTGCAAGGCCAGACATGCTGCCTCCCTCCAGCCCTTTCACCAACCGTTCCTCCCAAGGCACCCACCACCTCTCTCCTGGGTTCGATAATTCAGTGCAGTGGCCACACAGAACTCACAGATTATGGGGTTTATTAGGGAAGCACCAGGCTACAACTCAAATTCAAGAAAAATGCTC